TAGATAGATAGATAGATAGAGAGGCAGATTATGTGAAGCACAGAGTGAAGAAGCAGCTAACAGCCAACAGATTAAGGGGTCAAATACATAATCTGGATTAAGATACAACCAGAAATAGAGAGAAACAAACATCCCCACTAATGGTCACACGTATATGACGCTCAGCAGCAGCAGCAGCAGCAGCAGCAACAACAGTTTTAGTACGTATAGCAGTGTCTAGATTATATGAGTGTTACATAACGCTATTAAGTAATGTTCATTTTGAGCATCCAGCTCATTTAAAATGTAACGTAACTGACAATCTGGTGAAAAAGACAGGGCAATGCAGACGGAGAGAAGAACAAATGGTAAATTGGTATGCTGGAGAGAGTTGTTGGGGGAACTCAATAGACACTTATGCATGATTAACTGTCTTCCAATAAACACACACATGGAGAGAAGGGGAATCGAGTGACTTTGTTCTCCTTTCGTTCTACCAGTGACAACAAACAGACCCGTCTATTCAGCATGAGGGAGAAGGAGAAGGGAAGCTGTCAGCGAGCCAACAAGCTTTCACACACAAACTGCTTTTTGTTGCGCATGTCTTTAAACGTATTTGCTTGTTATCCTCAGTAAATATTTAATGTTTTCTCTGCTTTCTTCCCCCCTTCCCCCTCTCTTTCTGTCTTTCAGTCATCTTCTTCATTTAACAGACACAATGGACACAGTTGATTTTCATCCTGCCTTTGTAATTGTTTTTCACTTTAATGCCCCGCTCTCATTTAATGTCTCCTCTCCTCTCCTCTCCTCTCCTCTCATTCTCCTTATCCATTACTTAATTAAGATTATTTTCTCATCTAACTAGTCGTTTGGTCTACAAAATGGCGCAAATTATGGAAAATGTCCCCAATTTCCTAAAACCCCAAAGGTGACGTACTCAAACGTCTTGTTCGGTCTGACCACCAGTCCAAAACTCAACTGATAGACAGTCAACAGAAAGATTCAGTTACACAAACAAAACCCACAAGAAGTTAAAACTGGGGAGTTATGTTGCATATTTGCCTGAAAATGTTGTTCGGTTATAATATAATTTATGTCCGTATTTGTCGTGCGTGTGTTTATCTGCTGTGTCTGTATAGAGGAGTATAATCATGTGGCTGAATCGTTATGTGTGTCTGTGTTTGTGGTGAGATTTGTTTCTTTCTTCCACAGTTCAGTGGAAACAGGTCAAGCAGACTGAAAAGATGAACACACACCAAATAGTACTCTGTGTGTGTGTGTGTGTATGACTGTATGGGGAATAATATTTTAAGAAATGACTTCCACCCCCTTCTCTCAGTCACTTCCTTTTCTCAGCACTGGTTCTGGTTTCTCTGTACTGCATCTGACCCTGACCTCTGACCTCTCTGTGAAGAAGAGGGGGGTGTCTGCTGAACACAACAGGGATCCATTACATATCATATTAATATCCCTTTCAACCACTCGTCCATCCTTTTACTGTCCCTCCCACCTTCTCTATTTATTACCCATTTGCCCCCTTCTGCCTCCTCTCTTTCTCCCTCTCTGTATCTATTTTCTTACTCCCCCCTTTTATCGCACTCTCTACTGCTCTTCCTCCTTTTCTCCACTTTTTACTCGCCCTCTTTTTTCTATCCATCTCTTTCTGGAATGCTCAGAAGCAGCTGAGTGGAGGAATGTAGCTGTAACAAGCCCATACACAACCCCAAGGGAGGGAGGCTCCCCGTCACACACACACACACACACATACATATGCATACACACTATCTTTCTCTTCATGACGTTTGTTAGTTGACCTTTTTTTTCCCTCACTGCTAAACAATAAATCCCTCGTTTTTTCTGTCTTTCACACATGTGCCTGCAGTTGAGGGCAGAGCATGAAGCTGCATGTTTGAGAACCCGGCAGGATGAGTATATCTGCTCTGGACGAACACACACACTGATAGAACGTGAGCCTGCCTGTTGCAGTAATGAAGTAGGGTGAAAATGTCTGCCCTCAGGGTAGAGGAATGACTCAGTGGTATGTTACACAACCCCACCATGTCTCCCGCTGTTACAGGCTTCAGGATTCAGTGATATACAGATAAAAACATGGTATAAAAGAGTGGGGAAGGATAATGCAGATGCCTCCATGTGACATTAACAGCCTCTCATGCTCTGTGGCATGTGACAGCCTCCATCCTCAGGCCACTAAAGGGTCACTAAATGGTCTGATGAGTATGAAAATTATGTAAACCATATGCTATGGCCTTTGTGGTCAACAGATTTCAACCTAATTGGGAGATTTTGGACATGTGTGGCCTCCGCCTCCATCAGGAAAACACCTATTGAGGGAATATCCTTTGGAGCAATGGTGTTCATTCCTCCAGCAGAGCTCCAGAGATTTATGTTGTGTCCTATCAAGAAGGTTTGTGTTATTTTAATGTAATTTATTGTAATGCACAAAAATTCCTTAAAACTGTACTTAAGGACAGTACTTGTGTAAATGAAGGTACTTAACACCCCTGATTGCA